GACTCGAAATTGATTCAGCTAAGCAAAAAAGCAATTACGGGAACTAGTCAAACCAGGAATGGACTTATTATATACAGTTGCGTGTCTCAAGAGGTTACAAACTCAACAGCAATTTAGACTGGAGATTTTACTCAGAAAAGAAAATGTAATTAGATTTTGTGTATTGAACAATAACTCCAGGTCTAAATTGGCATTATATTTTGGAAGTCATGACCCCTAAACACAATTTTTCGTAAAACGTCAAATTGCAGAGAGCGAAAGCAAAATTCAGCGATGAAGAAATTCAAATACGGGCTGCCTTCTTGTGCAAAGAGCTACCAAAACGATTAACCCAGGTTACTGAAGTCAATTATTTCAATTTATCGATCTCTGCCGCAAAGGCTGAACCACCACGAAAATGCTCCTGAGGAATTCCTCGAAAACGGACGTGCGCAAAACGTAGTTCCTTTTGCATATGATATGACCCCTCTCGTTTTTAATATCTCCGGCCTAACGTGCTAACCACTGAAACCGATGACTCTGTTCTTCAAATCCAGCAGTTAGAAACTTTATATCTGATGTGTGGCATGCACATTCTCAGAAACAGCGCAGGTGTCATTTTTGCCGGTTTTTCGCTGCTACCAGTTGACAGATAGTCTTCTGCAACCTTGATGCTTTCACTGAGGGAAGAAGGAAGAAAGGAGAAGGTTGTTTTTGAATTCAAAAATCAAAATTCTTTCCATATTTGTTCTCTGTAAAAAGCGGAAGCACTCGGAAATATTTGCGTTATAGCAAATACCAACAGTGCCATCCGCTGACAAATTTTCGGTAGTTCCCTCATAGGGTTACTTAAAAACAAGCTGACAGCGACTTTGACTTCCCATGTACAATCTGCATTTTAAGATCTTTTACCGCTGTAAAATTATAGACTCAGTTCGCCTTGCATCACAAGCTGACACCGACATCGGCTCAACGGATCAGTCACTTCCCGAATCTGAAACCAGATACGAAGCATGATAGTAAAAAACCGCAGCAAACAATTTGGAAATTTGCTGTCCCAGCTCATCAGATCGAGAAACCATCTAACTTGCCAGCTCAGTTCTCCAAAGTACGGTTACAGGCGTTAAGATTAAGTTTTTTTTATTGGCGAATTAGTGGCATCTCTCAGAATTGTTCTCGTTTGAGGTTTAAGCAAGAATGCAGCTAATGGAATTAAGTTTTATTTCATCCTCCCCCGCTTCTCCATCCATCACGTAAAGCACTTCTGTAACATACCATTAACAAAACCTTGAATCTGCGAAATATTTCTATTGAGTAACAAATACGCACATCATTTATGAAAATTCTATAGCTTTGCTACGCAGCGCGCAGTTTTATCCTACCTTATCTTCAATATCTTAAGATTTCGCACTCTGGCTGATCGATTGATTCCAAGTGCTTTAAATTCGAAAGCCAAAAACTGGAAATTATTGTCCTTTTGATTTTCAAAAATAGCAGCTGAAAATTAAAATGTATATGTACATTTAACGGGATGTCGTTAAAAAATTTAACGAGATTTCGTTAGGAACTTGCTAGTCGATAAATCAAAACACCGAAAGCGGATCTTCCGAGGAAAAATTCACTATTACATAAATCGCTGTTTTTCGAAACTGGAAAAATTTTAGCCAGTGGACCGGAGCCGCATAAGTGCGGAGCAGGGAAATCAGAATCTAGAATATTTGTCAGCACATGCTTCAACTTCACAGGTATTTACTTCAAATATTTTGCTCATAACGTTGTTTCACCGGCTATGAGGCTGGCGGCATTCCTTGTGGTTTGACCAATACAGCACTGCTTGTGACAGTCAGCATACTGCCATTCCAGATGTTTATTTTGTTTGATATTTCATGACATAGTCGATATCCGAGAATGTACTTCAGGAGATACAACCTAAGCAGTTTGCTGAGGGACCATCGAGAGAAACAGCAAAATTCGCAGTTCAAATGAAGCACATGAGTGGTGGAAAAATTATCTCAGAGGAAAAAGTGGGTGCAAATTTACCGGGAATTCCAGCTGGCGTAGTTTTCTTTTCTTTTTCTTAATTTTTAACTTTCTGGAGCTTTGAAGCAAGTAGCGTATTGCAGTAGCTTGCTAAGCTGAGGTCCTGCTACATAATATTGGCTTGCGAAATTGAGGTGCTGTTAATTTTGCATATGCTCGTTACGTGGGTGTAATGGACGTGATGAAACTGATATTCCCTGGATTCATATCGGGATTAAGCTGCCGTAAAATCAGGATTTGCAATTCAGGAAAATCAGGATTTGGAATATTTGCCAGCACAGGCTTCAACTTCACAGGCGTTTACTTTGGTACTTTGATGAACTGTACTTACGGCACCGTCCGCCAGCTGTAAGGCATTTCTAGTGGTTTGACAGACAATGCATCGCTTCTGATTGTCAACCTAAAGCTTTTTCTGACTCCATTCAGTTCCATAATTATGGTATATTCCTAATGATATTTCAGGAGATGCAATCTGCGCAGTTTGCGGAGGAACTGTCGAGAGAAAGAGCAAAATTAGCAGTTCGGATGAAGCTCATGAGCGGCGGAAAAATCGTTTCAGAGAAGAAAATGGGCACAAATTTATCGCTAATTCCAGCTTATGGCGGTTTTTTTGATTTTTTACGTTTCGGAGTTTTGAGGCAAATAACTCACTGTGGTAGCTGGCTAGAAAGAAGTTCTTTTAATTAACGTTAGACCAAAGTCTTGTTATTTACAGTTTTCAGATGTTGCTCTCGCAGATGCAGTGAAGATCATGACACAATTATTCCCAGGATTCAACCCAGAATCATTGTGTTGGATGCCATGGACTGCCGAAGATTTGCGTCGGGCAATAGCTCTTAGGAGGGCTGGCACAATGCAAAAATTTATTACGGAACAATATGGTATTAGCGAAAATACACTAC